TTCCTTGCACATTGCTCTGCGGGGAGCAGGCATAGTCACACCTGGAGCTCTCAGGAACTCAGGATCAGGTGTGATCTGATGTGTCCACTCTTTCTGGAAAATGGCTCCATCTACCTATCAATATCTATTGCATCCCTACTATGTGCCAGGCACCATGTGAGGAGCTATAGATCCCGGGACATGCAACACCGTTTCGTGGGAGACAGACTAGAAAATCAACAATAATAAGAATTTGATATGTGTTCTGATGGACGTATTCAGCTGGATGGTGGGGGTTAAAGTGGAGGTGAGGTCGGGAAATACTTCTAAGAGTGAGTGAGCATTCATCTATGACTTAAAATCCCAAGGTGGACAAGCAGGGAAAGAGCATCCAGGGGCAAGGACCAGCATGGGTAAAGGCATGAAGTGGGAGAGCAGAGTGAGCATGGCCCTTCGGGATCCCTGCATGGCTGGCAGAGCCAGCTCTTGGGGACAGGAGAATGACTCAGGCCAAGGCTAGGCCTGAGACCAGGAGGACTCACTGAAGCAGGCAGGGGGAACTTAGGGGAATATTGTTTTCTGAGCAAGACATTGCTGCCTATACCTGGGCAGGGACAGACTGTTGACAGTCATCAAACCTGAACTGAAAAGACGGGACGGCACCCGGTACCAGGGCTCAGGGCCAATGCAGCACAAAGACGGTTAGGAGTAGGGTTTCTGGAGCCAGGCTGCCTGCAACTAAATATTAGCTTAGTGTGACCCTCGGAAAGAGACATGACTTCTCCATGCCTCAGTTTCTCCCCTTCAAAATAGGATAAGAAGAGTACCTACTACAAAGGTTTGTTGGGAGATCTAAGTAAGTTCATGCACATAAAACTCTTAGAACAGTGTGTGGCATATAATAAGAGCCTAATACATGTAAACTGCTGAAGAGTTCTCACTTATCTTTCCTTCCACCTTATAGGCTTGGCCACCTTGGACAAGTCTCTAATCCTCCCAGTAATAGGGGATCTGCGGGCTCTTGGCTCACCATAGGTGCTCAATGATTAGCAGCTGTCATTATTGCTTCCGCCATCATTATCACTATCTCTGAAATAACAATGCTTTGCCTTCCCAGGGGAGCAGGAGTCACAGCCACCATCCCCTCACCACGACCTGTCCAGACGGGCTGACATGCCACCCAGGCAGGCAAGACAAATGGACTTGCCACCTACACGGAGCACACGTGCATACCAGGGGCACATAGCCCAACTCGTTAGCACAACAGGGCTCCCTTCTTTTCGGCGCTGCTTCTCTGCTCTGCATGTGCTTTGCTCAGAGTGGAGGTCCCCGTTATTTATGTTTGGAAAATGCATTCAGGGCAGTTCCCAGAAGCACTTACAGAGCTCTTATTTAATTGCTACTTTATAAACTCACTGCTCCGAAGAGTGAGGGATTGATGGCCCGGCCTGGCACCTGGAGTGGCCTTGCTGCAGATGCTTTTCCGAGAATGGTCTGGGAGCCGTCCTCCAAGAAGTCCGAGGCCCAATGCAGCCCTGGCCTACACCCAACTCTGGAGGGCGCTGTAGGACTCGTCACCCTAGTCTCCAGCTTTAGGAAGGCAGCAGTTGCCAGTGTGGTCACATATACACACACGTACACACACACACATGCACACACGAAGACCTCCCATCAGTTCAAGACCAAGGATGTGCAGGGGTAGGAGAGGCCTGTCACTCACCGTTCACCCTCCCTTGCCATACACCTGCAAAACCCCAGCCATGAGGATATCCCAGGTCCCAGATTTGGCCGGGGGGGACACTTTTTTCAGGTCCCGCCAAGCCCATCTCCCATTTGCCTCGTACTCATGCATTGGGGTCCAGCGGGCTGGGCTGGTGTCCCCAGCTCTCCCACGTTCACAGCAAGTTATTTAATCTCACTGAGCCTTGGTTTTCTTACTTATAAAATGTGGTTTGTAGATTCCATTTCTCAGCATCATTGAGGGAATGAAATGAAATTATTATGGTGCCATTCCTGGCATGTAGAAATAGAAGATCAATAAATGTTATTTATTGGATTTCTACAGCCACAGAAATAAAGGATCAAGTGTCTTTCTTGAAGCTCTGAGATTCATCAAGGTTAAACCTCCCATCCAGATAAAATATGGGACTTCATAATGATTCCTTTTATTTATGCAGTCACTGTACGCCATACTATCATGCTTTATGGTTCCCAAAAAGCATTTTACAAGCCTTGTCTCAAATGACCTTCACTAGCCATCAGGGTATTGATTATGCACCTCATTTTACAGATGAGGAGCTGAGTGAGGCTCATGTGGGTGGGATGACCATTGGTCAGTCAACCAATTTCTGTCTCCAAATCTTGCTTGCATTCCTTTGCACCACATTACCTAGCCCACTCTCAGGTAGACCAAGGCCCATTTGTGCCTCCAAGATGGCTCTCAGTGATCCCCCCCCTTCTGGATTCATATTCTTGTACAGTCTTCTCCCATAGAGAAGAGGACAGACCTGAATAGCCAAGAGGACAGACCTGAATGTGGAAGTGACAGCCTGTGACCTCCAAGGCAAGATCATAACAGACATCGCTACTTCTACCTTGCTCTCTCCATCACTCCCCATGGGGGAAGCCTGTTGGTATAACACTCAAGTAGCCCTATGGAGAGGTTCTTCTGGTGAGGCACTGAAGCTTTCTGCCTAACACCAAAATAAATTTGCCAGGCACAGGACCAAGCCATCTTGGAACTGGACTCTCCAGTCAAAAACCAAAACTTCCACCTAATCCTGACTACAGCCTCACAAGAGGTCCCCAAGCTAAAACCATCCAACTCTTATCATCCCTACCTACTTGCATCCTACACATTACATGCATTTATTTCAGACTACACTGGTGCTATAATTTGTTTTGTTTTGTTTTTTGAGACAGAGTCTAGCTCTGTCACCCAGGCTGGAGTGCAGTGTCGTGATCTTGTCTCACCGCAACCTCCACCTCCCAGATTCAAGTGATTCTCATGCCTCAGCCTCCCAAGTAGCTGGAATTACAGGCATGTGCAGCCACACCCAGTTAATTTTTGTATTTTCTGTAGAGATGGTGTTTCATCATGGTGGCCAGGCTGATCTCAAACTCCTGGCCTCAAGTGATCTACCCACCTCGGCCTCCCAAAGTGCTGGGATTACAGGTGTGAACCACTGTGCCCGGCCCAATACTGTAATTATTATACATATTTACTCTTATTGTTGGATACTTTTATTCTACCATTTGTCTGTAGGGTGTGTTTGTTCACTTCCCAGATAAAGGCCACACTATCACTTCTGTGTGTGTGTAGCCCCCTCAAAGGAGGATTCTAATAACTAGCCTTTTCAAAAAGCAAATGGTTAGTGTATATTTTAACATTTCAAGACCAACACTTCTTGGTCTTTGGCTTGCTTTTCACCTCCCCTGTCCGTGACTTCAGCTCAGGCCCGAATTTTTCCCCACTGGACTACAGCAACAACCTCCTAGCTGGTTTCCCGACTTCCGGTTGCACCTTTCTCTGTTTCTTCCACATTAGTGTCATGCAAATACCATCTTATTTTTTTTAAAAAACATCTGCTTTAAAAATCCAGTCGCTCTACAGGAGGAAGCCAAGCTCTACAGCATGCCTTACAAGACTCTTCCTGATGGGCCTCCACTCTCCGTTTCTCCCCACTGAATTGTTTCTAGATCCCCAAGTGCATCCTGGCATTCTTGCCTTTGTGCTTTGGCACTAACTGTGCTTTCTCTCCAGGAGCCCATCTCTGCCTTGTCTACCTGGCAAAATTCTATTCATCCTTCAAAACCCACCTCAGTCATGACTGTCTTGAAACCTTCCCCACATCTCCAGGCAGAGTTAGGTCCCCTCTGTGCTCCTGGTTGTATCTCTCTGATAACGCCCACCACTTTGTTAGAATTATACGCTCTCCCCTGCTAGACTGGGATCTCCTAGAGTTCTGTTTATTTTTGTTCTCTCAGCATCTAGTTCAATGGCTTGGCACATACTCGCTAATCAATGAAAATGTATTGAATCAGAAAAGTTTTGTGGCGGGTTGTGGGGGAGGTAATTTTCATTCACTGAGCCAGCATATGTACAGCTCAATGGCATGGTGTTAGGCATACAGGAGGCTTGCCATAAACGTTAAGGTTGGTGCCCTTTTTCCCTTCACCCAGTGCACCAAGGGGCAGGCTTTGTTTGTTTAGTTTAACTGTGGCCCTATGGCTTTTTTTGTTTTTTATTTTTATTTTTATTTTTATTTTTTTTGACAGAGTCTTGCTCTGTCGCCCAGGCTAGAGTGCAGTGGTGCAATCTCAGCTCACTGCAACCTCTGCCTCCCAAGTTCCAGCGATTCTCCCACCTCAGCCTCCTGAGTAGCTGGAATTACAGGCATGCACCACCACACCCAGCTAATTTTTTGTATTTTTAGTAGAGATGACGTTTCATCACGTAGCCCAGGCTGGTCTTGAACTTCTGAGCTCAGGCAATCCACCCTCCTCAGCCTCCCAAAGTGCTGGGATTACAGGCATGAGCCACTGTGCCCAGCCCTATGGCTTCTTCTTTGAGCACTCCCAGCAATTCACAAGAGGGTCTGATTTTCCACTTGCTTTAAACTGCCTGAACTCTGCGGGATGTTGATCCTCCATAGTTTCCATCTCTGCCAGGTCTCCTGGAATCTTTGTGTTTTTCTTTTATAAACCCTACCAATGGGTTTGATAAAGTCATGTAGCATTTCCCTTTCCTATCTTCAGTTCATGCAAACTCACTGCATTCATTCATTCATTCATTCATTTGCTCATTATTATCATGGGAGTTAGAGTTTGATATATACCATAAAGCCTAACTGCCAGGCCAGGGTTCAAATCCTGTCAAGTTCTGTGACCTTAGGCAAGTGACTTAACTTCTCTGTGCCATCAGCTGCCAAATCTATAAAGTGGGGATAGAACAGTGTCTATGCCACAAGGCTGTTGTGAGGATTCTAAGAGATAGTATTGAGAAAAAGCAAGAAGAGCTCAAGAAATATTAGTGTTTATTCATTCAGCAAACATTTCTTTAGTACTTATTAGGGCCAGACCCTGTTTGATGTGAAAGAGAATAAGACAAGTTTCCTGCGTGCTGGAGTTCACAGATCAGTGAGGAAGACAGGGAAAGACACATAATTACAAATGCCATTGAAATACCAAAGGAGGGCATGTTCTCAGTGGTTTACTGGCAGCAAGGAGGAAGGAGTAAATACCTTTGTTGATGAGGGAGTCAGAAATGCATTATTGAAAAAGTGACAGCTCCAGGTGTACACACCAATGAGAGTGGAAAGATAGCTGCAGACTCAGAGGGCCTTCAGTGTCATGCCACTCAGGGAATAGGCACTTGGAGAAACTGAAGCACTTGAGGCTCTGCCATCCTTACATTTGCATTTAAGAAAGCTCACTCTGCGACCAGCTTAGTGGCTACTGCAGTCATCCAGGCAAGATGTGATGCACTAAGACAGGGAAAAAGAAGGAACAAACTTGAAAGACATTTAGAGCAGAAGGTTGGCATACTTCATCTGTAAAAGGCCACACAGTAAATATTTCAGGTTTTGCAGACCATACAACCTGCCGCAACTCCTCAACTCCTCTGTTGCAAAAGCAGTCATAGACAATTTGCAAACAAATAAGCATGGCTGTGTTCCAATAAAACTTTATATTACAAAAGGAGGCTGCGGGTGAGATTGGACCCACAAGCCAGAGTTTACCAGCTCCTGATTTGAAGGTGAATGGACAGGAATCCACATCCATCCTGGATTGTAGGGAAAGTGTAGGAGAGGGCCAGGATGGAGGATTTCAAGAACCTCAGATGGTCACCAGGTCCAGCACTCTGTTGCTATATCTTATGGCTAAACTATGTTTATTCATAATGCAGAATACTACACAACTATCTCAAATGGTCACCAGGTCCAGCACTCTGTTGCTATGGCTAATGGTTAAACTATGTTCATTCATAATACAGACCACAACTATCTCAACTGGTCACCAGGTCCAGCACTTCTTCCTTGCCAGAAGGCCTAGCAATACTCCATATCAAATTATGTTCTACAAAAATATAGAGATTGAGATTCAACAAACTCCTCTGCGTTGGAAAGTTTTTTTTTCTACGGATGTCCCATAGGACTCATGATCCTGCTCCCATCTTTGGAGAGATTGGAGGGCAATTGTGAGACATTGACCCAGGGTGTAAACTTACAGATTGCCCAGCTCCCCATTTCCAACACAGACCAGCTCCAGGCCTATAGAAGAAGTCAGAGCAACCACTTCCCAGCTGAGCTATACAGCAGGGAAAGAGCTGGCTCTGAAGGCAGCACACACACTTCAGCAGCCTGTCTGGATTTATGCAATAACAGACTGCTGGAAAACTGCACATGACTGTAATTTGGGGAAGTCGTAAGTACCAAGAAAGCTGGCTTTTTAAAGAAATCATGCAGATAATTCTAACGTAAAGTGTCTCCCATTATATCCTTCTGCAGTGCTGGTAGGAACATCAATTGGTTTGAAACTTTTGAAAGATGCTTTGGTTGTAGCTTTCATAATTTTAAAATACCCCTTTACCCAGTATTGCCTCCTCTAGAAATGTATGCCCTGGAAATATTGGCAAGCACATATGAGCTAGGTGACATTTTTTGTAGCATTCACTGCAAGAGCAAGATTAAAATTTAAATGCTCATCAGTAGGGAAATGGCTAAAGTACAGTTCATTCATAGTACAGAATACCACACAACTATTAAAATTTTGAGATAGACTTGTAGGAATTGACACAAACAATCCTGATTCATTGTTGTGTAAAAAACAAAAAAGCCAGTCACAGTTCAATGAAAGTGATTTTAGTTTTGAAAAATAACTACGTAAGTACCCCCGTGAATGTATGCAGTGCTTAGCAGGGCCGGGACAGGGTGAGGCAGTAAGGCACACCCAGGGAGCAAAATTTAAGGAGGCCCTCACTCTCCAGCTTATAGAACTATTGACTCTGCCCTGCACAGGCCAGAAAGTGAGGGCCTCCTTAAATTTTGCAACCAGGGTGCCTCACTTGCCTCACCCTAATCTGACCCTTATACAGAAAAATGTTTGGGGCCGAAACACAGGTTATCAATGGAGAGAAGTACTGAAAGAATGGCAGGTAGAAATCTTCACTTTTGACTTCATGATGTTTTGTAATGTTCAATTTTTAAATAAAAATATGTGAATTCATTAGGTTATTAACAAAGCAGAATTTCATTTTTAAAACCCACCATCAATTTATCTCATAAATGTAGACTCACATAAGTTGAGTATTTTCTAAAATGCACACCTTTTTATCACTGTAATAATAGCTAACATTAATTTATTAAGTGCAAGTGTGCCTGGTACTTTCATGATACTGGATAGCATGACCACAGTCACAAAAAATGGTGGCTTAGCCAAGTTGGAGTTGCTTTTTCTCATGTAGCAAGAAGTCTGGAGGTAAAAGCAGTGAGAGCTAGCGTGGCAGCCCCAGTACGTCATCAGCGATGCTATTAATTAGTCAGCTTTCCCAGCTGTGCTGCCATAAGGAATAACCCCAAATCTCAAAGGTCAGTTTTTGCTCCCATTAAACGCCCTTCACAAGTCAGCTGCAGTTCTACCCCTATTACCTTCTTTCTGAGGTCCAAGCAGAAGGAGCAGCCCCTCTCTGGGACTTGCGGCCTCATGTCAAAGGAAAAGTAAAATCACGGGATGGCACTGAACTTCTTCTCAAGCAGGGCATAGTCACTTCTGCTCACATCCCACTGGCTAATGCAAGACATACGGCCATGCCTGATTGAATGGCGTGGGAGTGCTGTCCTATCCCGTGAAGTGGCAGGAGCTGGGGTCCTACAGAAAGGCACTGTGAATATGTTTTTAATAAATCATTCAATCTACCAATAGAGACCAAGGCACCATTGTCTTCTATTTCTAGCATGTGCCCCTTGCCTTCCTGGTCACTAGACTGAAGCTCAACCTTCTGGCATTTCACTTGAACAGTAAGAAAAATGAAAGACAAACAGAGAAATGTATACATCAGCTGACACCACCCTCTTTCACAAGTGTTTTCAAACCTTCACCCCAGTGACTTAAGGGATAACAGGTAGGTAAGTAACAGTATGTGCCACATACACATGATCATGGTTAATCTTCACAACCACCAGGGATGTGATGTTTGCTCCACTTCACAGATGAACGAACTGAGGCAAGAGAACAAATGGCACATCCAAGATCACACAGCTGTTAAGTAGGTGGAGCTGGAGTTCCTCATCCAGGCGTGTCTGTTCCCATGCCCTCTCTGCTGCCTTTCCAGCGACTGGAAGAGATCAACTGTTTGATTGGATTAGCAGCCCTCAATTGTTTCTACTTAAATGCACGTGGGTGTACAGGTGTGCATGTGTTCGAGAGAGAACACATATGTGTGCATGTGTTTGAGAGAGAACACATATGTGTGCATGTGATCGAGATAGATCTCAGCCACGGTTAATGCTGGATCTCAGTCTCCATACTGGATTCCCAAAACGTGACCACATCCTCTAAGCTACCTCTGTCCACATCAGGTGGCATGTCCGTTAGTTTCAGTATAAGCCAGAACTAAAAACTGGCCCAAAAGAAAATCAGTGATATTAATGACAGAGCAGTCAAAGAGGTGCAGAGGTGGAGTAGAAAGTGCTCTGGGCCGGACACGGTGGCTCACACCTGTGATCCCAACACTTTGGGAGGCCGAGGCGGGAGGATTATGAGGTCAGGAGTTCAAGACCAGCCTGGTCAGCATGGTGAAACCCTGTCTCTACTAAAAATTAAAAAAAATAAAATAAAAATTGCTGGGTATGGTGGCACGCACCTGTAATACCAGCTACTCAGGAGGCTGAGGCAGAAGAATTGTTTGAACCTCGGAGGTGGAGGTTGCAGTGAGCCGAGATTATGCCACTGCACCCCAGCCTATGCAACAGAATAAGACTCTGTCTCAAAAAAAAAAAAAGAAAGAAAAAAAAAAAAAGAAAAAAGAAAGTGCTCTGGGTCAGAGGGAGAACACCAGAATCTGACTCCCAGCTCTGCCTCACATCAGTTATTTAAAAATAAATTTAGGCATATGTCTACATCTCTCCTTGGTATTTTCATCTGCACAAAGGGAGCTACAATGTCTACCTCAAAGCTTTGCTGAAAAAATTCAGTGAAATAACACAAGCACAATTATCTAGCACAGGTAAGCTCTCTCCAGAAGTTAGTTTTCTTCCCTACTGAGACTTCATCAAAATGTCTTGTAAATGAAATCCCACCCCTCCTTCAATGTGCATAGTCATCCCAGAGCAGTTCTGTCTTGATTTCCCATAGGTTATCAGTTGGTAGAAGCCCTCAACATTACAGTATTTCCAGTCCAATAATATAGCCGACTGGATCAAGTCTTCCTAAGAGATTCTAGAAAAAAAAAAAAAAAAAGAACATCATGAACGTCTTTGTATGATCTGATGCTTTGGCCTGATTACTATTTGGGGGGAATCCACTCTACCACTCTCTCCATTCACTCCATAAATGTACATCAAAGGTTCTTTTCAAGAGACATTGTGAATACTGAAGAAAGCCCTCCAAGTAGACCTGTAAACAGCAGAGCATGTTGGGAGCTAAGTAAGCATTTGATGTATCTGCAGCATAAGTTTTGTCTAAGCTTGGGGTCTGTTTTGAAGACTGACTTGTGTACAGAGCACTCGTCTAGGTGCCAGGGAAAGACCAAAGAGCCTGGGCCCTCAAGTGCCCACAGTCTTTTGAAGGAGAGATTGTGATGTGCGAGCAGAGATATAAATGCATTTGTTAGGCCTGGCGCGGTGGCTCACGCCTGTAATCCCAGCATTTTGGGAGGCCGAGGCAGGCAGATCACAAGGTCAGGAGTTCGAGAACAGCCTAGCCAACATGGTGAAACCCCATCTCTACTAAAAATACAAAAATTAGCTGGGCGTGGTGGCATGCACCTGTAGCCTCAGCTACTTAGGAGGCTGAGGCAGAAGAATCGCTTGAACCTGGAAGGCGGAGGCTACAGTGAGCCGAGATCATGCCACTGCACTCCACCCTGTGTGACAGAATGAGACTCTGTCTCAAAAAAAAAATGCATTTTTTTGCTGTCCCTGTACTGAGAAATGAATTAGGTGTGAAAATTCAGTATACTGTGGCTGGAATGCAATGGGGAGGAGTGGGAGGCAGAGGTAGAGGCAGAAGAGAACCTCCCATTGCTTTACTGATGATGCTGGAGGCTTTAGTGCATGTTAGGGAGGGGAGTGAGTCTTCAGGAACCATTCCATTTGCCATCTTTGGTGGCATCTTGATAATATTTTGGCGATTATCTCCCCTTCTTGGAAACAGTTGAATTTCCCAGTGATTTCCATAAAAGGTACAGGTGTGTGAGACACTGATCCCCTGCGTCCTGGTTGGGGAGGCAGTGTTCAGCAGTCACTTATGGCCAGAAGTAGCCTTAAGATAAGGAAGAACAACTTATCCTTTCACCCCATCATGTCTTATAAGTGAGGTATCCTTTGTGTGTCAGAATACAAAATCAATTGAGAAACAAGGCATCCAAGCCCTGAGGGACTCTATCAAGGCATCCTGACCTCCATGGTCGACAGGGAGGGAACCTGATCAAGGACAGAATCCAATCAACGTCAACAGAAAATTCCCTTACTAGAACTTAATTCACGAGCAGTGTCCAGGACTAAGAACATTTTCTCCAGTGGCAGCACCTGGATGAGGCTGCTGAGGAGTTCTTGCTACCGACAACCTCTGAAGCTCCTGCCCAGCTTGTCTTTTCCAAATCTAAGTTTTCCACCTCTCCTCTTACAAGCTCCCTTTAATTCCTCCAATAGATTCTCTTTTTCATTTAAGTTAACCCATCAGTGTCTGTTGCTTACAACCAAGGAATGCTAACCAATTCTGTGGTTGCTGTGTTGCATGATATGTGGTTGTGTGTGTGTGTGTGTGTGTGTGTGTGTATGTGTAGGTAGTTTTGTTCTGTGTAACTTAAGGTCCCAAACACCCTTTGTACCTGTGAAAGCTGAAGCCCTTTGCCCTCTCACTCTCATCTCCATTCTTCCTTCCCAGTTTCTAAACCTTCCTCTAAAGTCCTTGGGGGCCAGAAGATGGAGTGGGAAGCAGCTATGAACCCTGATCCACCTCTCAGAGGTGTGCTGGCAATTATAGGGCTGGTGACTGAGCACTGGGGAAGGTAGGAACAGGATCTACAAGAGGATGGGGAAGCAGAAATACATTTCTGGGGCCTGGGGGCTCTGGGGACTTTGCTACATCTCATGGAATGATCCTAAGTTGGTCTGCCCTTTAGGGTGGGAGGCAACTTTTTCTTTTCCCTCCGGGTCTGAGTCCACCACTCTTGGTTGCCATACTGGGAGGTTAGGAAGGAGTTTCTACCCGTCTTTAAAGAGGCCACTTAGCTCAAGACAACCAGGGGTGATATATAGAGATGAGCAATATAGCTGGTATTTACTATTGAAAACACATAAGTGCAAATATTTGGCTAAGTGTTTATTTGCTAGTGGAACTTTTTAAATGGTTGAATGGAGCCCAAGTGTCAGCGTGGGGAGTTTGATTTAAAACAAACCGAAGAAGTGTTTCTCCACAGTTATGAGTTTGGAGAGCTTCGTTTCTCTGGCTCTGAAATCCGCAGTGGGCTCTATTTCTCAATTCCAGACAGCCTCATGGGGAGCCCCACCCTGGTGGGCTCTTCCTGCCTCTGCAGCCAGCAAGGCGAGGGCCTCGTCTCCTCTCACCAAAACCGGATCCCAGCCCCCTTCAGGCCCAGTGCAGAGCTTGGAATGATGAGAAACATCCTCTATGCCTCTGGGTGTGTTCTGTTATGGAGCAGCCATTGGGGGCGACTAGCTCTGAGCATCACTCTGGCAATGACCAACCGTCTACAGATGCAGACCCATCCGCCTGTCTTGCCTTCTCCCTTTCTTACTTGTTTTTTTTCTCCCCATGTGATATTCAGTGCTTGTGAAGTGCATGACTCTTGCTTTTAACTCTGAGCAGCTGGGGGCAGGGAAGGGCGAGACTGTCCTTTGGTAAAGTGTCTCCCGACCACACATCTTCTCTCCCAGGAATAAAACAGTCCAGCATCTCCTGGGTCTAAGCAGCTGGGGTCAGGGAAGGGTGAGACTGTCCTTTGCCAAGGTGTCTCCCAACCACACATCTTCTCTCCCAGGAATAAAACAGTCCAGCATCTCCTGGGTCTGAGCAGCTGGGGTCAAGGAAGGGTGAGATTGCCCTTTGCCAAGGAGTCTCCCGACCACACATCTTCTCTACCAGGAAGAAAACAATCCAGCCTCTCCTGGATCCCTACTATGTGCCAGGCTCCATGCAGGGCACTTCCTCATTCCTCATCTTGGCTCACTCCTACAGCAAAGGAGATGATCGTCTCCATTTTACAGAGGAGGAAACTGGGGCTTAAAGATGAGCTAGGGTTGGTCTGAAGCCATATAGTTGGAAGGTGGCAGGACAAGACTTGAGCATGGATTTGTTGGACTCTAAAGTCTACACTCTTAGCCAAGTGTGGTGGCTCACGCCTGGAATTCCAGCACTTTGGGAGGCCGAGGCGGGCAGATCACCTGAGGTCAGGAGTTCTAGACCAGCCTGTCCAACATGATGAAAACCTGTCTCTACTAAAAATACAAAAAATAGCCAGGTGTGGTGGTGGGCGCCTGTAATCCCAGCTACTGGGGAGACTGAGGCAGGAGAATCGTTTGAACCAAGGAGGCAGAGGTTGCAGTGAGCTGAGATCACGCCATTGCACTCCAGCCTGGGCAACAAGAGTGAGACTCCATCTCAAAAATAATAATAATAATAATAATAAAGTCTACACCCTTTTTTGCTCCCTCCTCCTGCATTTTCTGGCTTTCTGGGCCATTATGCTGACAAGGACTTAAGGCCTGTGAACGTCAAAGAAGACAAGCAGGGGCTCATCTATCAAAACCCTTGGTTCTTAAGAAGGATGGCCGTCCACAGCTCGGGCAGAGCAGAGCCCATTCTGAACTGCTGGCTTCCTCTATAGCAGGATCCAAAACTCCAAGACACTTGCTGGGCACAATCAGGGGTCAGCTGCTATTGTCATCCCCTCTTCAAATTCATTCTGCTCAAGAAAATGGGCCAACAAAGAGGAAAGAGCTTAGGCGCTTGCCCTCTTGTCCCCTGGAAACATTCCTCCCTCCCTCCTATATTCCCACCTGGGCTTCTGAGGCTACAGGCCTAGATACATAACTGGGAACAATTACATACCATCTCTGAGCCTCCAGGGCCTCCTCTGTAAAGTGGGGATAATCAGGCCTCCAAGCAACATTTTCTTTTTTTTTAAGATGGAGTGTCGCTCTGTTGCCCAGGCTGGAGTACAGTGGCATGATCTCAGCTCACTACAACCTCTGCCTCTTGGGATCAAGGTATTCTCCTTGAATCGCCTCGGCCTCCTGAGTAGCTGGGATTACAGGTGCCCGCCACCACACCCAGGTAATTTTTGTATTTTTAGTAGAGATGATGTTTCACCATGTTGGCCAGGCTGGTCTCAAACTCCTGACCTCATGTGATCTGTCTGCCTTGGCCTCCCAAAGTGCTGGGATTACAGGTGTGAGCCACTGCGCCCGGCCAGAAGCAGCAAGATTAAATAAGAGGTATTAAATAAGAGGACATCTTGCAAGACAGTGTAGACACTAAGTAGTCACTCGAAAAAGTGTTACACTCCCCCACACTGCCACCACCACACACACGCACATGCACACATGCTTCCCCTGAATCACATACAGGA